CACGACAAATAATGATAGGGTTGAGCTTGCGCATCATCATCCGGAGAGAATGCTTGTTTGATTTGAACGCGCTCGGGCTCGTGCTCAGGGTTTTGTCATGTAAGGCTCCGTTTTTATTGCTTCAGCCTGCGGTTTGTCTGCCTATCAGTGGATTGTCCTGCTCAGCCTCTGCGGTCTGCTATAAAAGCAGCATTAATAGTTCTGATCCTAATCCCTACATTCACCACTAGAATAGACTGAAGTTAAGTCTCTTGTGTAATGTAATCACTGTCGAGACAGACCAAAGTCAGGGAGCTGAATTTTTCTGACAAATATCTAACCATACCACCCTGACCTCTCAGTATCTCTGAAGACCTGCAATAACAATTTCAATACTTTATATCTGCAACCAACTGTGGACGTTCACAGGAGTTTTGTTTATCTGACATGTCAGCTGATGCTGGTGTTATGCATCATGCGTTTGTGCCTTCCACTCAGAAATGCCCACGAGTCCTCGAGCAAGGATAGAAAGGACACTCAAAATGCAGCCGGGTGCTTCTTAGGATCATTATTGTAATCCCAAGTGTCTTTCTGCTGCTTCCTGCTCAGCTCTCCTTTCAGCTGAATAGTGTCTGGAGGATAAGCTCTGACAGGGGTAATTCAGCAAAGCGCTAATTACATGATAATCATGGCATTGTGTGTCCTGTGTTCCAAACTAAGCATTTAGCCCATAAATAATGACCTCTGCTGCTACAGAAAGAGCCCCATCATCCCCAACTATGAAAAATCCGATATTCAAGAGAGGAGAACTTTTTTCTCTCTAGAGATGGCAAGATTTATTAGGCCACTGCTTTATTCAGGCTGAAATATCTCAGCAACATTTTGATGTATTACCATGAAATGTTGCTGTGAAGAAACCCCATGAGATAAATCCTGCTCAATATTCTTCCGGCTGACTGCCGTGTCTGTTATTAGTGAAAACTGTTCAGAAGAATATTGCGCAGGATTTCTGTGAAAATTTGGTAGAAAGTGTGATACATCTCAGAGAATGAACTCAAGTGACTTGGGTTTCACCTGCATTTTATCTTGCACCACTAGATACATTTGGTTATACTGTGTGAAATACTTCAACATCTAATTGTAAGGCTTCAGTCACACAGGGCTGGAAACCAGTTAACAATTCCCTGAAAACCTTTGGTCATAAGGGAAGCATATCCATTACTCAGCCGGTTGGTTAACAGCTCGATGTCACTCAGTGAAAGTAGTCGCAAAGAGGGTGCGGCACCAAGTTGTGCCTTATTCCTGAAACCACATGTTTCAAAGTGCTCATCTTATACAGTACTTAGAAGATTAATGGTGTCTGTTGCCTGTTTGCATCACATTCCTCACAGTTCTGTGGCCACTTGGCGAGCAGTAGACAAGCCTTTGCAGATAAGTCGGTTTCTTTCATTCAAACTATAGGTTAGAGCAGGGGTGGGCAACTCCAGGCCTTGAGGGCCGGTGTCCTGCAGGTTTTAGATGTGTCCTTGATCCAACACAGCTGGTTCAAATAGTTAAATTACCTCCTCAACATGTCCTGAAGTTCTCCAGAGGCCTGGTAACAAATTAATCATGTGATTCAGGTGTGTTGACCCAGGGTGATATCTAACCTGCGGGACACCGGCCCTCGAGGCCTGGAGTTGCCCACCCCTGGGTTAGAATGACAATCTAGCAGCCAAATCAATCTCAAGGAGATTTCCTCTACAGCACTGTACCTAGTGACAGTCAGCCTCAGCAGACTTCGCACCAACTGGTTGGGCAATACACATTTTTCCCCCAGCGATCAGTGGTTACCACTGACCGGTGTGTAGCCCTGTGTGACTGAGGCTTCAGCAATCAATTTCACAATGACTGCAAGCAGCATCCAGCAACCACTTGCAAGTAGTCAGGCAGTATTCACTTTTACACACAAGAACTAAACTGAAAATCAGTGGCAACAAGTGTTATGGAGTGATATATCCAAACTAGGGATGCAACGATACCAATTTTTTTCAAACCGATACGATACCGATACTTGGATCTGAGTACTTGCCGATACAGAGTACGAAAACCGATACTTCTACCACACACACACACATACAAATGCAATAAATTGGAAGACAGGTTTTATTTTATTCTCTGCCAATAATAAATAATATCTTAATAAAAATGACCACAAAAAAATTTCAAGTGAAAAATAAGCACTTCTGTTAAATTATTGCAGATTCTCCACATTGTA